TACTGCTACTACTTCTACTACCACCACTGCCACGACTACGACTTGTGCACAGACTACAGCTAAGCAGCTGACCACGACGAGGACACCGAGACTATTACTCTCGATAGTTGTACCCGGCTTTTCCCTCGTACCACCCTCTAAATCCAACCAAGAGCAATCAACATGCGTTTTGGGGGTTTAGGGTTTAGGGTCTATAGGGTTTAGGGTTTAGGGTACCCTAAACTCCAAAGCGCCAAAATTCCTACATCAGCACGTGAACACCCGCAACCCGGGCGCCCCCAGGAGTGTGCGCGGCGCACGATGCACGACCCGCTGGTCCCGACGAACCCCCGGAAGATCGACGGATGGGAGGCGACCGGCTCTGATTTCACAGGTCCTAGTATATAGTAGACAGGATTCCCCCTAAGCGCCTAACTCCCTTCAAGTATCTCTCCCTCTCTAAATATACATATATATATATATATATACATAGATATAGCCCATATAGATATATTCTAAGATAGTATATGTATGTCTACATATATATATATATATTATATATACACATGTGTATACATTAGTATGTGCATATATCTACATATATATATATATATATATATATATATCTGTAGCAGGCAGAGGGAGAGTGAGATTCTGCTGTATTCGTTTTTCTGCGTATTCACTTGTTTACGTGTTTCAAACCTCACATCAAAGCATTGAGCCCCTTGTTTTTTCGACAGTCATTTCTACTTCACGGCATGATACGCAGAGGAGACCTCTTTTGACTGGCCCAAGACCTGTCAGCTTTACAGGTGCGCCGGGTCCAAAACCTCATCAATCATTGCTCGTATTCCCAGTCCCCAATAGGTGGAGATCCGAACACCCGGACGATGACCCTGCAAGGCAACATCCTACAACGAAAAGAAGAAGCACTAAACCCACAAAGACCTTATGTATGTCTTTGCAGGATGTGCAGGCCATCCTAGAGCTTTGTGGCCCTTTCGCTGAGAGCTCCGCCGAGTCCAAAGCGACCGCCTGAAGATCACTTCCGTAGTTCATCGGAAGGCTGATGTAGGGGCGTTAATGATTGGAATAGGTTTCCTTTAGAGGTCTGCTTTCCAAAGGAAGTTAAGAAGTAGAGTTGAAGGGCATCATATTTCTAGTGGAATTTACCGATACTCTTCCATAGGGCTACGACCAGATCACTGTGAAGGGAGGCAAGAATGGTGCTCTCATAAGAACAAGAGAGGGTGCCCAAGAAGTTGTATCCCAGTGGCAACAGGGAGCTGACATGAAGGACCTCATGTAGTATTTTGTAGTGACTGTCGCGTCTTCTATGGTGTGGCCACGCTGGATCAGGTTTAGTTGAGCACTTTGCCTTTAGGTTCCATGCATGCATTTACGCTGAGAGTCTCCTTAATGGTTGCATGTTCAGCATGCGGGGAGCGTTCGAAAGCAGAATCTCTTCATGAAGGAAGCTTCGATCTCTAAAACGCTACCTAAACTAGACACATAACGGCGCCAGTTCAATGCTACAGAGGCAGAGTCTGCAAGCAAGCATTGCATTCTGCGATTTTCGTAGTTTTCTGCCCGAGAGGTCCACTTCGATGTCCCTCAAACATCACAGCTCGAATCACAACCCTAAGGCTTAACTCTAAACTGTTATGGCTTCGGGGCAGGGGTAGTTGTCGCCAGCAGTGTTGAAACTTGTTGACATCAGGTTTGATGACTTGGGGCTTTGTTTTTTAATCGGTGTAGAGTGCTAAAGCCAAGCAGGGTCTTCGCATGCTGTGTCAACAGCATCGTAGCCTAGGAGTGCATCGGAAGCCAGACTAGTGGTCTGATATGGGACTTGCAAAACGCAAGGCGACGCTGTAGATTTTACCCTGCCTCTGGA